GTCGTCGACTGTTTAAGAAGCTCGGATGAGCAAGACGGCCTTTGCCTACGTGACGTAATGACGAGCTTGTATTTGCTAGTTACGTTTGAGTGAATCATCAGCTGTCTAAGATAAAGACTTGGGATTAGGGTCATTCACGGTGCGCTCATCTTTTACAAAACGCTATGTGCGGGGGTACCGATAGTGAGGTGGTTGACTGGTCTGCGCTAACATCTGCGTGTCTGGGAAACCAGGGGTACGGGGTTCGATTCCTCACGGTGCACCCCCTTCCTATCTGAATAAGGGGCAGGAGACGCCATATAGCCTCAGCAGTTGAATGCGTCATAAAGCCCCAAAGCCGACGAAGCACCACTGCTACCCCCTATTACATGTGTGGTATGACGAGATTGAGGCCACCGGGCTTCAGGCGTGACATGTGTGCCTGTATGCCATGTATGTATGCCATGTACGCCTGTGATAAAGCCATTCGGAGTGGCAAGCCAGCATTAAAAGAGCACTCGCAATTCAACTCTAAGCTTCGTTACTGGAAGTAGGTAAGAAAAATTGACCATCTCCAAATACCCGTTGCTGTTTATGGAAATGAAAATGGTGTTATCGCGGTGCCTGATGGCCATGAACAATGCTCTGGACCTGCTTTACATGAAATGTGCTCATGTGCGAGGCAATCCATATATATATATATATATATATATATATATATATATATATACGCTAGTGTATCTTTGTGGAGTGACGACTTGGTTCGCTTAAAGTTTGCTACCTTTGAGCTTTCGATGGCCTAACATTGTTTTCATAACGCATGTATACATATGTACATACCTTGGACTATAGTGATCATACGAATCCATGTAAAGGCAAGGGTCAGTCTTGTTTTTTATTCATATCTTGACTGGTGAAGTTGTTTAATTTATCGTATTTCAACGTATGCACCGGTAGTTCCTCTTTAATAGCCTGTTGAATTTCAAGGACCAAGAGGATTTTTTTTTGGGGTGGAGGCTTTTTGGAGACACTTGCTTTGCTGGCGGGCTTTGAAATTTGGATGCGGGACGGGTGCGAATATTCGAATAAAAAGTGGCAGATTTAATCAAAAGTTCGAGTCAGTTCCGTTTCGTCAGTGCCCAACTGTGCCCACACGGCCATCCCCGTGCAGACTCAGGGGGGGGGGGGGGGTGAAGCACACGTGACGCGTGTCTCTTCCACTATGACGCGTCTCCCCACCCCAGCTTCACCCTCCTGCCACTCTCCAGCCCCCAGCATCGGCGGGGAGCCCCAACCCAGCTCCACCCTCCAGCCCCCAGCGTCGCCGGGGGATCCCCACCCCAGCTCCACCCTCCAGCCCCCAGCGTCGGCGGGGGAGCCCCATCCCAGCTCCACCCTCCAGCCCCCAGCGTCGGCGGGACAGCCCCACCCCAGCTCCACCCGCCAGCCCCCAGCGTCAGCGGGACAGCCCACCCCCAGCTCCACCCCCAGCCCCCAGCGTCGGCGGGACAGCCCCACCCCAGCTCCACCCTCCAGCCCCCAGCGTCGGCGGGGAGCCCCCACCCCAGCCCCACCCCTCCAGCCCCCAGCGTCGGCGGGTGGAGCCCCATCCCAGCTCCACCCTCCAGCCCCCAGCGTCGGCGGGGGAGCCCCACCCCAGCCTCCACCCCCCCAGCCCCCCCCCACGCGTCGGCGGGGGAGCCCCACCCCAGCTCCACCCTCCAGCCCCCAGCGTCGGCGGGGGAGCCCCATCCCAGCTCCACCCTCCAAGCCCCCAGCATCGGCGGGGAGCCCCCACCCCAGCCCCACCCTCCAGCCCCCAGCGTCGGCGGGGGAGCCCCATCCCAGCTCCACCCCCAGCCCCCAGCGTCGGCGGGGAGCCCCACCCCAGCTTCACCCCCCAGCCCCCAGCGTCGGCGGGGAGGGTCGTCAGCTGACGCCACGCCAGGGGCGTTCCTACACGTTAAAGGGGTGTTCCACATTTATGTGGGGTTTTATATTAAAATAACCACCTTTGGAGTCTTTTGGTGTTGCTGCAATCCTGCTCCTCTGAAGACGTAAGCCCCTCTAGTTTCTGAGCTCTACGTTCACGAAAATGGGGGAAAGGTATATCGGAGAGAGTATTTCAAAGTCCCCTCGGCATCTATGACGTTGTAAAGAGGTCATTCAAGTCTTGCCATCCCATAAGCCATGTGGTGATCAAGGGCAAAAAAAGTAAGTGTCGACGCGTTCATATCTGACGTTTGTGAGCGTGATTCCCAGATATAACGGCCGTCAATTGGGTTTTAATCAATATTGTGCAAAGTGCGATGACGCAATCAAACCACGACACATCGAGAAGCATATTTACTTAACAGAGAATTGTGCTGTCAGGAGCAGTCTTTTCCACTTAAAAAGCATACCAATAGCTATAAATGAGTGAGTTTGTTTCGTCATATCTGATACACACTGTTATGTCCTCAAATGTAAAGCATTCCCTTTAACGGCCCATGGGGTCCGACGCAATTTATTGCTCGAGTCCTGTTGTTGTGCCCGTGGTTGTGGATAGGGCAGCAAACAACCTAACTGTCCCATTGAGTTACTGGGGTCCAGGACCCAACGGACCCCTGAACTGAAAACGACCGTGCACCGCGAACATCCCTAACGCCGGGAACAGGACTTAAGTCTCCGAGGCCTGGAGAAGCGTGCCGGGTTTCCGAATGAGTGCAGCTGAGAGAGAACCGAGCTCTGTTCCGTCCCAATATGGAGGTGCGTGGGAAGTCTTACTCTTCGCAATGTCCTTGGTCTAGGTAAGTCTTATTCCTTGCAATGTATCATTCCTTGCGTGATGGTGCTTCATGCAAATAATGTGCTTTCTTGCCACGAGGCTCTGGCCGTGCTGGTGGCAGCAGTAAGCTCACTGGCTTTGCCAACAGTTGCTGTGAAAATGATCCGCCATGTGATGCCCTCCATAATAATGAACCTTGTTCATGAAAGGATGTAGCGCTTTCGTTTGTTTTCAAAATGTATCTTAATGGCGCAGGTGTATTTGATGCGGTGGTTTGAAGCTAGTGTGAACTAGGACATTCAGGTTGTTAGTGTAGGTACTCTTCGTTGGCCCTCATGAGATGACGTAAGGATAGTTATGTCCCCGATTCATATCTGATCTGGATATGAATAGGTGTAAATGTAGATTATTGTCAGGGTTCCGTTTTCTATAAAACATCGTCTGTACAGCTTTTCTGCGTATGTCATAGGACGAATACGTTCAGCGTAATCCGGCATTTCAGCAAAAACCTGCATAATGTCGGTGTTTCTCATTCAACTTTAATAAATATCGTTCTCCTCTAAATATCTGAAAACTTTATCGCCGTTTTCAGAGCACATTCTGAAGAGTTGGTAAGTGCAAACTCTTCGCTAATATCTTTTTGTCGTGGCATCGGCGTGTGTGTGCTCTGTAAAGATCGCCTGGTGGCAGACCAACAGACCAACAGATAATGCTGGATGCTGGATTTCGGCGGAAGTCGAGTGGCGCCGGCGGCGTCCCACCGGCAGACGATGCCGGTTCTACCCGCCATCGGCGATCGATATCAATCGCAGCTAACTGAGCCACTTGTGGCCATTTAAGGATGCCGGTGGAATTTGAATAAGCTGGCTCATTCAACCTGGTATAAAATAATAATAAATAAATCGAGAAAGAATCGTTTCACCAATGGCAAAATTATGATTTGAATAAGATCTGAATCCTTCAACGAGAATAATGAATTAATGGTGAATTGACGCCAAAAAATTTGTATCGAAACACGTGCCTGGTAAAATGATGCCCTTTTGTTCTTTGAATATCATTGATATGTGGTCTAAAAGGTCATATATTAGTTATACTAGACAGTTCCATTCCGTCAGATGACTGCTTATCTTATTGGTCGTCTGTATAACATGATTAAGTATGAGTACGTCAATGTGCCCACCAAGCATCCACCCATTTAATGACCGCATACGCTTCTCAGTGCCGCTTCCTATATCTCATTGACTAATCTATCAGCCGTCCATACCTGTACACAAAGAGTTGGTGTCGGTTGTCAACTTTTGTCGTCGACTGTTGTCAACAAGTTGGTCCACGAGTCTGATGCCAACTACTTCAAGCCAACGGCGTAGGTTTGCTAAATAGTTCGGAGAGAGGTAAGAGTGAAAACATCACGTCACCTGCCCCAAAACACGTCAATCAACAGGCTCTTTCCCGGGCATGGCCCGCGTTCTTTTCATTATGCCAACCGGCTTCATTCTTTCAGCATGTCGGCCCCTGGTATTGAGTTCGGCACCAGAGGGTACTTGCTTTACTCGGCAGATGGCAATGTGAAGCAGGAATATGAGCAGTTTTACGGGATTTTTTGCAGTGTTGTTACGAATCGTGTTTCTTTTTCGAGTATCTTAAATCAAAATCCCAAAAAGAGCGTCATCGATTTGCTGGTATGTGTTATTAGCTACTGGGCCACCAAGCAGGCGTATGTTCATTGGTTTGAGGTTGTCGCGATTCCCACAAGATGGCGTTGCACGCTGTTACTTCAGCGAATTTGGTGAATGTTTTTGAACGATAGACGAATGACATGGTGGCACGAAATTAAATCTATATCAGCGGCAGGATATCTGAACAATGGAAAAATGTTGATGCAAACGGATGAACACTGTGGTCACGTGCCGTGGTAAGTCGCAGAAACATGACATGAAAAACGCGACTGGCATAACATCCTACCCTCTCACCCTCTTGCTTGATCCTGCATACTGTCGGCGCCCCGCTTGCCCGGGGCAGGCTGCGTGCGCCAGCCACGAGTGGGTCGGAAGGCCCCTCGAGAGGGATCCGACCAGACGCCCGGCGTATGCCTGGCGCAAGGGTCCCCGCGCGTGCAAGGCTCGGCAGTTGCCCCCCTCCCCCCCCCCCAAGGCGCGTGTAGTCCCACCAGACCGCTATACCCTCTCCTTTATCCCACAGCCATAAAATGATCAATTCTGGTCGAAATAACTAATCCAATAACTACACTGGCACAGCACATACCTGGCTCAGGGACAGCGTGATCAGGAAGGCGGTTTCTCCCAGGGCGACACCCTGCCGTTGCAATCCGGCCCGGTTGGTCCCTGCGATTACCCAAACTGTGGGTAACTCGGCAATACAATGGTTGAAAGCGAGTTAAGTTTTGCTCGCGGTTCAACCCAAGAATATTCACAAATACAAAATAGCGTGGGATGGTGGGTGAAATGCTGTGATTTATGACCCGATAGGTTCAACCTATCGGGTCATAAATCACAGGGTGCGAGGGACGCTAGCGCTGGGTGGCATATATCCCTCTACCACGGGGCTTCTAATTTATCAGCCACATGGGTTACGCACAGACATGCGGGATATTTTTTTGCGCATGGAGGCTGCCGACTCTTGCCAAGATGGAGGCCAGTGCTCTAGGATGTGTCTTTTGTACGCGCTCGATATATAGGACTTTTGGGTCCTCCTGGTCATGGAGGGCACCACCCTGGGACATGACCCAGAAACTTGACTTCGACCTCGACCTCAAAATCCAAACAGAGTTGTATCTGTCGGTGCCTCCCGGCTTTTAAGGAGGATGGCGCCCCCCTTAAAATTAAGTAGGCCATATCCAGCGACTTTTTTTTTGAGTGGCGGCCGTTAACCAGGGGGTCTTGGTCAGCCCTGTGTCCCATCCCCAATTACCAAGACTGGCTGCGCTCCTATGCGTATGCGTACGTAATCGTAATCGCATGGTATCTGAAGAGACAGCCCAACTAGTAACACTGTTACAGTCAACCAGCATTGCGCATGACACTGATATGACGGGTGTGTCGTTCATCTACAACCTTGAAGTAAAACAAGTGAGGGTCACTTTGCCTTCAGATGTAAAACGGTTTGGAACAGTGTCCCTTAGACGCATAGCTGGCTCGCAGTTTGTGTTCATTGAAAACAGAGGGGAAAAAGGGATTCTCAACAGCAGGGCATCTGCCTCAGTGTATTTGGGGAAATGTCGAAGGTCATGTTCTTAAATTAGGCATGCAGTTAGCATAACCGATAATTACTATGAATTTGTTAGCATCAATATTTACTAAAATGCATATGCTTTGTCGATGAAACCTTGCTGTGACGAGAACCTGCGTATACATGCGTTGTGATAGCCACATATGTTGTGGATACTGGACACTATTCTTGTGAATGAATGATTAAACACACAACAAATTGTCCAAGCACATAGTAGCAAATTATGCATCAATTTAATATTTCAGTAAGCAAGAGGGCTGCAACTGCACTCCTTCAGCTTCACAAAAACAGATGCCTTTACGAGAAGGTGACACAATCTACAATTCTTCCATGCCTGGTTTCTGTAGCTACGCACATGACCTTTGAAATATTGGTAATCATGGGATGTACGTACATATCTATATAAAACAATGGACAATCGGAACATAAGGCACGAAATCCGAGCAGCTTTTCGACCTCTTCCCTTATTACGACTCCCACGAATCTGGCTGGTGGGGAGGGGGGGGGGGGGGGCAGATTCGTGGGAGTCGTAATAAGGGATGAGGGCCGAACATGGTCTTTGGAGCAACGCTTGCTACATGGTGAGGTCGAACATGGCCTTCGAAGCAACGCTTGCTACATGGTGAGGTCGAACATGGTCTTCGAAGCTTAATAAATCTACACCCGATCTGGCTTGCGTCAGTTTTGGTGCGTTTTCAAGGTATTCTTTAGGTCTGGCTGCCAGGTGCTGCGAGATATTGCTGTCGTCACAAAACGATTCCATGACGTTATCAAACGATGACCGTAACAGAGACCATTTTTACAAACTTTTGAAATTTTGCTATTTGGGGTTTTTGAACCTTGAAAGCTAACCAACGGCTACGCGTAAGATTTTCTCATCACATATTATGTTTACCTCAATATCTTCAAATATGCAATATTCCCTTTAATATGGACTAGGTAATGCGGAACCATACTTAACTGTAATCTCGTAAGATAACATTGAACAGATCTGGGCGTATATCGTACCCAGTTTGAAAATAGGTTGATTTCTGATATCATTCTACAAAATAGTACCCATTTACAACGCAACCTTTTTGCTAGATTATATCTCATCACAAAATTGAGTCGCATGATCATAGCCGACCTAGTCCCAACGTAAAACAAACATAAGGCCTGCCTGATGATTACGTTGTCCTGGCGTCATGCCTAACATTAATATCATTCCGCTATCTGAGCGTGGTGCTTGCAAAAATTGAAGGTGAAATTGACGGGAGTGAACCGATGTAGTAGAACAATGTTGAAGAACGATTGACAACAAAAGCTGAGAAACGACACCAAGTCTTTGGGTACAGGCACGGACGGCTGATAAATTCGCTGTGATTCACCTCAGTCAGTAAGCTATAGGAAGCGGCACTGAGGAACGTATGCGTCCATTAAATGGGTGCATGCTTGGCGGGCACATTGACGTACTCATACTTAATCCTGTTATACAGGATTAAGATAAGCACCAATAACGACCAATAAGATAATCAGTCATCTGACAGGATGGAACTGTCTATATAACTAATATGTGACTTTTTAGACCACATATCAGTGATAATCAAATCAAAAAAATGCATCATTTTGCCAGGCCTGTGTTCGATACGATATCGCCCAATCGCTTAACAGGAGCCTTGTGTTGTCAATGGACCCCCTAGTCGGCCAGAGGCGGTCTTCGAGGTGGCCCCAAAAGCCTAGAGGGCCTACCAGGTCCGACGACCAAGGGCGCGACAGGAGGATCTGGGGGCACAAAGGGCTGGTTAGATTCAGGGGCCCCAGCCTGCGAAGGGCTGGTTAGATTCAGGGGCCCCAGCCTGCGAAGAGGCAGGGGACCCAGCCTGAGTCAGGGGCCCCTGGTTAGAGTCAGGGGCCCCCAGCCTGCGAAGACGGATCCTCAAATAACGGCCAGAGTGCATTTTACGCCGATCGGAGAACCTGTGAGTCGAGGTATGGGCCTGAGGCCCACTTCGCAATCATCTATACATCCGGGGCCAGTGATTTACACTGATCAGGGGCCTTGTATCTGTCGGCGGCCCATAGCGCCTAGCAGAGAGTCCTGTGCTCGCACGGACCCCCGAGCCCGACCAAGGACAGTATTCGATAGGGCCCCAAAAAGAGGCCCGGGCTGGCACACCGGAACCAGATGATTCAAAAGTGCCGGTTGGAGGACATAAGGGCCCGAAGGACTGGCTGTAGATCACATAAAGAATCGCGGCGCGTAGGGACGTGACCTGAAATATCAGTCATAGGTTTCTCTTACACCGTCTGAGGGAACCCCTGAGACAATACGGGTGTCTAATTAGGTCAGAGATCACAAACACCCGAACAGTCGGCTCCGTGTTGGTTTGGGCACTGAGGGCCTATTTCCCAAGCAGGGAAAGGCCGGGCCCGCGCCTTCCATTGGCCGGGCTTCTGTATCGCTCAGGGGCCACAGTGTCTAACAGGGCATCACGTGTCAATACGGGGCCTCGAATCGGTCAGGGGAAGCCGATTTGCTCAACAGGAATGGGGACGGGGGCCCAAGTGGCAGAGGATTTCTTACGTCGGTCGGGCCCTCTGACAACTGAAGGAAACATGCGAACCTGTGATGAGTGCTCACACTGAGAAAGTGAGAGAGTACTGTGCCAGTCAGGGCCCTCAGCGCCGATCGATGCACCCTCCACTCCTATTATAACACGGGCCCGTTAAGCCCAACTGGAGGCCATGTGCCAGTAATTTGAACACCCGCAGCGAGCACGAATGTTGTTGCATTAATGACAGTTCATGTGTCGGTCCGGGGTGAACTGCCCGGGTCGGAAGGCCTCCCGCGTCAAGGCGCGAACCTATATGATAGGATAAAAAAATGACGTCATACATCAACAATGATACAAACTAGTTGTTCCTCGCCCTGTGACGTCAAAATTCCCGAAGCCGAAGGGAGAAGCCCGTGAGCATGCGCCATTGCTCACCATTAGGCCAAATTAAACACCATAAGTTTCTGGACGCTGATGGCCGACGCGCCGTGAGGGTGTAGATATTCAATGCAATATTCAAATTCAACACCAATCCGTGGATGAGGACCTGGACACGCCGCTCGCCCTCGACATTCCGCTGAGAGCCGACAAATTCACCGGACTTAAATAAATCCTGCAGGCACAGGGGCTCGCACATGGTCAAAGGCTAGCACCGACATCAACCGAGTGAAGGGACCAGGGGTATTCAGAGATTCTGTGGCCCGTCACTCGGGCCAACACCAACTTTTTATGACGGTGGGGCACGCCAAGACTGAGCTTAGCCAATCAAAGCAAAGCCTTCTGGCCTTCTCTCAGAGGTAACTTAACCTTCCTGTGTCAGATTGGCGTTTTTTCGTGGCTTCCCAAAGCCACAGGAGACAAAACCGGGCTACCCTCATTGGGGCTTTCAAACGCTCGGCCCACTTTGGCGCCGGCATGACTCGCGCAGTAAAGGCTTTCCTCACAGTTATCCACGAGCACCTGGCAAGGGTGACAAATGGCGCAGCGTGGAAAACATGTCAGAGTTGGCATCTTAATGCTCATCTCTGTCCTAAAGAATAGCAAGGAACTTTTCGAAGCAGCTCTTCTCAGACCGGGCCGCGAAACACATGAGGGAAGACGGACTAGACCACGCCAGGAAGACAAACTAGACCAACCCACAAGGGCTGTGATCTGACAATGAATTGAAAGCCACCTCGTCTGTATTGCAGTGACAGGTGTCGGAGGACTGCAGACCAACTACGCCGCACTGCGGCGAGTGGCCGTTGTCCGCCAAATGATTCACGTTGCTCTCCAGGTGACGTCCGACACAAGGTCTGTCTTTTTCCGCGACATGGCTTTGGAGGAGTTTTGAAACACACAAAGGATGGAAAAACAGTTCATCGTGATCCACGCGGAAGGGAGACAAAGACAGGTGTGCAAAACTGTAAGCGTCATGCTCTCGAGCCGCCTCCACCGGGCCACGTGTTTCTTCGTAAATCACCTTCGGCAGTATCTCATGCCAGGAGAACCGAACCAAAACTCCTGCCGGAACTCAACACGCATGAGGAAAACACTCCCTTTTTACGTTCCCGTCATCGCGTACATCAATTATGCGAGGGTGCCGTACGGTAACCGGGAGCACCGCCGCCATGTTGACCTTACCCACCCGCTGGAGACGA